GAGAGAGAGAGAGAGAGAGAGAGAGAGAGAGAGAGAGAGAGAGAGAGAGATTACATTAAATTTAAGACCCTGGTACCACTTTTGATGGGACAATAACAGAGGCTGTGGTAAACTATAAAGCTACGCCCTTACCACCAGCCCCAAATTATAGATATAATTGTTTTATAAGCATAAATCCTTTAAGGTTCAAGTTTTCAAACTTCCTGGATGTCACTTTCACACTCTCAGTGCCCTACCCCCAACCCCAGACCACAGATTCGGTGTACCCCTCTTCTTTGCTTGGGATTATAGAATTCTCTGGTATTTTTGACAATGAGATGGTAATATTATTTTTCTCAGGCTTGCAGAACAACGTTTCGAGCTTGTTCTCCATATCTGAGACAAAGGAAGGAGTACAGCTTCCAGAGTGAAGATCAAAGGAACCCCAAACTCTGCCGGCAGCTGGTGAGTGAGCGAGGGTAGGAGAGAATCCTCCCAGAGGTCCCTGCACTCCGGGCGTTAATACAGAAGGTAGCTGGGCACGCCAGGGAGTTATTGCCCCTAAAACCACTCAGGCCAATTATGTTTCAATTGCAATTGACCCATAATAAAATGTAAATGGCAAAATGCCTGGAGGACTATGCACAAAATACATTGGCACTTCCAGTACAGGTCATTTGACGGACACAGGCAGTGATGCCTCCATTTCTGAGAATTCAAAGATGCCTTGTCTCCATGCTCTGCGTTTGACAACTGTCCACTTATTCTTTAGTCGAGGAGGTTTACTGACTCCCTCCCTCACGGGTACCTCTGCTAATTTCTTTCAGAGCCACTATCACCCAGAGCTCCTGCAGTACCTCTACGCAAATAAAATTCTGTAAACAACAGAACAGCAGAAAAATGGTTCCACGTGAGCACATCACGGAAGGGCTGATATCCTCGCCTCTTTTAACTCTTCAGATGTTTCTGCTCGCCTGTCATGATTGTAATAGAAAAGGGGATGTTGGGAGAGCCATTGATGGCAACACTAATACTGTATAATTATGTCCAACGTAAATTTAAATTGCTTTCACATACGTCATTCTCTCCTTTTATAGAGTGGATGAGAAGGTACACACTTTCTTTAAAACATTTAAAGTACATATAGATTCAGTGCTTATTTCTCAGCTTTTTCCTTCTTTAGTTCAGTGCTGTCATTGATCTTTTTTATTTTATTTTATCATAATTTTTTAAATTGGGGAACAGTGTGTTTTTCGAGGACCCATCAGCTCCAAGTCAAGTAGTTGTTTCAATCTATTTGTGGAGGGTGCAACTCAGTGGCCCATGTGGGATCGAACCCTCAACCTTGGTGTTATGAGCATTATGCTCTAACCAACTGAACTAACCAGCCACCCCCTATCTTTCATTTTTAATTTCTGAGGCTTAGGAGAATAGCTGCTACCTTAAGTATTTTATTTTTTAATCAGCTTTTGATGCTTTGCTCTTTGCTATTGATACCTTTTCTCAGCAAGACCTATTTTAAGTTGGTCAAGGTATCACGATGGTAGCTTGGAGGGGTATGTTTATCTTCTCATAATCTCTAACAGTCATTGCACCCAAGATCATTCCAAACAAGAATTAATAAAGAGAAAAAGAATCTGTAAAGCATGTGTTGAAAAACCTCAGGCTGATGGTAATGTATGGGATAATAATAAATAACATTTATTGAGAGCATTTATCATTTTTTGGACACTAAGAGCTGTGCAAGTATTAGTTAATACTCAAAAGAATCCCAGGAGAAAGGTACCATTATTACCCTCATTTTATAGACGAGAAAATGAAGACACAGGGAAATTAAGTAACTTGCTCAAGGTGACCCAGTAAATGATGGAGCCAGAATTCAAACCCATATGGTCTGACTGCTGGAGCCTACATTCAACCACTATGCAGTACTGCCTTGTTATGCAATGATGGATGGATGGTTAGAAATGTAAGAAAAAAAATAAAAAAATAATAAAAACCTCCTTAGTTTCTGCTCTTCTATTTAACTCAGTCAATTTTGCTTTTTTTAAAAAATGTACAGTACACATTTTTATTAATTTGTGAGCTAAGTATATATTTTTATTAATCACCTATTGGCTATTATGTCAGCTTTTTGGTGATCAATCCTAGTTATATAAGGAAGATCACAGCACTTTTATAAAAGGTTTCAAAAAAAATCTCTTAGTCCCTCCCACCTTCCCTCCAACCAGATTGCTTCCAGAGCTGCTTCTATAGAAATTCTGATATTACCACTGAACTTGGCCTTCAGGTCATATCCTGGACCAACTATGACCATTTTGAAAATGGAAAACACAAGAGGATCATAAATGCTACAGAAGAAGGATCTTACTGTTATTCTGAGAACCAGGAACTCAAGTTTCTGCCCGAGCTCTCCAGAGACAGGCTCATGAAACACAGATAAGGGGGTGAGGTATGACCTAGGAGAGACAAAAATGTGGGAGATGGCAGAAGGGGCAGCAGGAGCCAGGCATGAATGAGTTTTCTTTCTTCCTTCTTTGTTTTTGTTTTTGTTTTAGCTGAGCCATCCTGCTACCTGTTGGCAGCTCAGCGGCTGCTCAGCTCGGGCTGGACTCGAACTGCTGTTGCTCAGCTCAAACTCTTGAGCGAGCTCTTAACCAACTGAGCCACTCGGCCGGCCCTTTCTTCCTTTTTTGAATCTAGGGCTCCCCCAGGTGTAAATCTGGCCCTGCCACTTACTGGTGTGACCCTGAGTAAGTTAGCCCCGCAAGCCTCAGTTTGCTGATCTGTGAAATGGACATAAAAACCCAACTAATAGAGTGTAGCTTTGAGCCTTACCCACCGTGGGTGTTCAACAAGGATTGGTTGAATTTATTGAATTGCAAATGCTGGTGCCTTGACCAAGCGTGAATCTATTACCTCATAAGTTTTGGAATGGCTCAAAACAGTAAAATAAGGAGAACCATACTGAATGAGAATAGCAGGTTGTCCTTTCCCACTGGGCTCTTGTAGGGGTGTTGGGAATGCTCAGGTCAGGAGAGTGCCTTTTACACTCCCAAGATGGCTGGATGAGCTCTCTTCATTCTGTCCTGACCCTCCCAACAGCTCCACTAATAACTCTGTGTTGCATCTTTTGGGCGATCTCTCATGAATAATTAACACCCCACTTTCTGTTTCCAAGCGTGATCTTGTTCCTTTCAAGCTAATGAATTTCCTGCAGCTGTAATCATGTTCCTTTCAAGCTAATGAATTTCCTGCAGCAATGTGCAAATGTTAACCAGGTAATGGCCCAAAGTGTCACCCTGCAAGAAGAAAATGTTGAGACATGGAGATCAGAGAGTCAAAATGTCACTCCCTGCGCCATGCTGCTGGGGGTACATACC